ATGTAGCATTTTGCTACTTTTCTATTTTTATCACAGTCAACTACTACCTTCATCAGCCATTTTTACCACCAACCATCTCCATAACTTGTCACCACCATTTTCCTCCACAGCCGTGAATCACAACTACCAATTAAATCTACCATGAGCCACAACTACCACCATCCTTTACCATACAAGTACCATCATCACCAACTACCTTCAACATTAGTCATCATTATCAAATTCCTCTACCACCAAACTTCACCATACAATTGTCACCACCAACTACCTTCAGCACTACCACCACCAACTACTTTTACCGTTAATTTATACCGTATAATAACCATTGTCGGCATCTGCCTCCATCTTCCACCATCAATAAATTTCACACATTCATCACCTATGGTCACTGAGATACAATCACCATTGATCGCCACTACATAACTACTATTGCCAATTTCCTCCATATAATCATGATCACCACCAATCATTACCTTTAAAGCTATCATCACATATCACCACTACCATTGTCGCTGCCATCACTAGTTTTTAGAGTGTAGTTCATCAAAGAAAGAATTTATACACCAACTTGTAATTTATATTTTCACTAATATTTTGTGGATATTATATTCGTTGATTTTTAATTTAATTTTTATTAATTTTAAAATGAATATATCCACAAAATATTAAGAATAAAGAGTCTTCATTATGCGTTCAAATGCAAACGTCTCAATGTTAATAAAAGTGAATGAGACCTTAATTTCTCTATGTGCCTTACCAGAACCTATTCTCCTAAAATAAATACTATAAAAAAACTCATAGAAAGAAGAAACATGTGGATACTACATCATTTTTCCCTAGAGCTCTAGCGATAGGCGATTTTGCGAAGACTGGGCAAAATATTCGTGAGCTCTCTCATGGCCTCGCCGGCCGGCAGCCAGCCTGTGTTACCGGCTGGTCAGCCCCTTAACAACCGTACACCATCCTCTAGAAATACTCCAATCATTCCTCAACCATTAGATTACACGCATATTCTCAAACCTAGTGCATTAAATACGATCATGCACGTAAAACCTAATATGATCACTGTTGCCCCTATCCCCATAAAATCTGTTACTTTCCTACATGGGCAGCCATTAATCAAATGGACAGAAGCAGAAGTTACTCGCATGAATATCATTGAAGGATTGCAATATGCTATCATTGGCAAATTTTCGTATGGATGGCCAGAATTGCAGGAGCTGCGTAAGTTGATACCTAATCAATATGGGATAAAATGTGAGTGCAATGTTGGTTTTCTTAGAGATAGGCATGTGTTGATCATGCTTACATCAAAGAGAGCTTACCCATATCAGATGAGGCCTTTAATCTATGATGCTAAATTCAAAGTTGGTGAGGAAACACCTATAGCAATGGCTTGGATTTCGTTCCCTAATTTATTACCAACTTACTTTGTAAAGGAGTATTTATTCTCATTAGCCTCAGCAGTTGGTAAAATATTGCATCTTGATATGGCCACGATCAACAAAACTAGACCTAGTTGTGCTAGAGTCAAAATACAAGTAGACTTACTATCTAAATTGCCTAAAAAGGTAAAGATGGACATTGAGAATGAGACAACTGGACGATTAGAACTGAATGGGTGAAGGTGCAATGTGACTATATTCCCAAATATTGTAAGGAATGCAGGCTTCAAGGTCACAATGAAGAGGAATGTAGAAGACTATATCCAAATCTTATACTAGCTGTGGAAACTCAATCAGAGGCACAAGTTCAAAGTGATGCTACTGATAAGAATCAGGTGCAACTAAATAATATTAAGCCAACAATTAGAATGCTAACGAGTGGAAAAATAGTTGGTTATCCTAATGGTAGGTGGATGGAGGTCAAGGACAGTAGGCCAAAGAAGGATCATGCTGGGAAGGAAGAGGAGAAGAAGAGAAAAGAGGTTACTGTAAAGGAGACTAAGAATATGGAGCAGAAAACCAAGGATCCAATTCAAACAAAGAACAAATTTGCATTATTGGAGGAAGGAGAAATTGAGGAAGCAATATAGATAAAGAAGGAGGCAGTGCAGAAGGTACTGAACAATGATGAAGCTGATCCAAACAAGGGAAACAAGTCAAATCCTAGTGCTACTGGGACTTCTAGTCCAAAGAAGGGTGGGAGCACAAGTGCGACCAAAGAAAAGAATCCTAATCCTACTATTTCTGGGATTGAGGAAGCTAACAAAAAAGAGTCGACCATTGAATAGGTACATAGAAGGTTTGGTACAAACAAAGAATAATTGAGGCAACTCAATGTGACAATTAATCATTCATGCCATGAAATTCCCTCACAAACGTTAGAAGAATCCACCAAACTGAATGCAGCTGACTATGAAGCAACATCTGGATATCAATTATGGAGTGATGAAGTTGAGAATAGGGAGGAAAACAATGAAGAAAACAGTACAAGACTGTATGTGCAAACTGGAAGAGTGCGGGGAAAAACAGTTGACCTAATTACTCCTGCTACATTAAAACCTAGTACCCAGAAATCTAGGGTTGAAGATTCTAAAGAATTGAATAAGAAACATGGTACACCATCAGCTAAAGAGACTCAAAGATATCATAAACAAGCTAAGACTGCTGGAGAATCAACAGGTGGAGCTTCATTTAAGAAGAAATCTAATGTAATAGTAATTCCTAGGTAGGTTGCATAGGTTGTAAATGATGCTGGAGGTGCTCCGCTGGAAATTTTGAGTGGTGATCATGTTGAGAAGGCTAGTACTAAGGTATTAGAGGATACAGTGAAGTCAGATCATCACATAGCTGAAGGAAAGGAGATGGAAACCAATGGAACAGTGTTTGCAACAAGTGCTACAGTAAACCCTACATTAGGATCAGTCTATGATCTTCAATTTAGGGTGATGCAGGAGGCATTGGGGACTATGGAGAAGAATGCATTAGTATTGAAGGAGGCTACAAGTCAATCACATGATCAAATTGACCTAGCAATAATAGCTTGTGATTCTGAAGCTGGGCAGTCAAACACAAACAACAAGGCAATCCAAACTACAGGGTTGGCAGTAGATTATCCTGGGATTCTAGCTTGAAAAATATTTAGTGTTACTAGTGGCATATTGGCAAAAGGTATGCTTATCAATCACAGGGGCCAAAAGGAGTTGGGAATGATAGCTAAGAGACATGAGCCAAATCTTATGGTTCTCCATGTGGTTGACAATGATAAAGGTGAGCAAGAGGAAATAGGCGAGGATATTGAGGAAGAATTTACTGCTGCCAACTTTCAATAAGCAGTTAGGGCTGGCGACATGTCACCTAGGAGTGTTGATAAAAAGAAATCTACTGGGAAACAATCAAAGAAACACGAAGAGAAGATTGTCCCTATGAGGGTACAACCAAAGAGGAGTGGGCTCTCAACTTCCAAGTGATCTTATAGATAATGCATTAGTATGGAATGTGAGGTTTGTGAACACACAAAAAGCTTTCCAAAAATTAATTAATCTACATATGAAGTACAATTTTTATCTCATTGGTTTGATGGAGCCTTGGCAAGATACCAATAAGCTGGAGAAGTATAGAAGAAGGCTAAGATCCATTATGCCTTTGCAAATATGAATGGTAAGATATGGGCTTTTGTAGATGAGGAAATAGACGTTGACATTATGATGGATATGGAGCAATAAATGACTTTAAGGTTGTTTCATAGAAATTTGAGTATGGAGATCATTATTACACTAGTGTATGCTAAATGTGATGCCATAGAGAGGATTGAATTGTGGGCATCTATGTACTATTTAGCCTCAGATATGGAATCACCATGGCTTGTAGGGGTGATTTTAATGTTATCTTATCTGAAAAAGAGAAGTATGGTGGACGTCTAGTATACCTAAGTGAAGTAGAAGACTTTGCACAATGTGTTGATACATGTGCATTGTATGATTTGGGCTTCAAAAGGAGTCTATATACATGGAATGAGAGGTCTGATGATGATTGCATTTTCAAGAGGCTTGACAAATTATTGGCTAATCAACAATTTCAGGATCTTTTCCCAGTACCGAAGTTGAGCATTTGATTAAATATGGTTCCGATCATGTCCCTATCTTGTTATCTTGTAACATTGACACTGTCTAGGTTAAGAAACCTTTCAAGTTTCTAAATTTTTGGAGAAAGCATGATACTTTCCTGAATGTGGTGAAGGAGAATTTGTCAACTGATAGTGTGGGGAATCCATGTATTATGTTTTAAAACAAGCTAAAAAATGTAAAGAAAGCACTAGCAGGTTGGAGCAAGGAGACTTTTGGAGACATATTTAAACAAATTACAACACTAAAAGATACCATTAAGGTATATGAGGTGGAGTTTGAACTAAATCCAACAACTCAAAATAAAGCTAAGCTGCATAAGGTTGAGGCTGATCTTACAAGGTTCTATCACTTAGAAGAAGAAATTTGGAGGCAAAAGGCTGGTATGCAGTGGTTCAAGGATGGGGATAGAAATACAAAATTCTTTCATGCTCATGTCAAAGGCAAAAGGAAAAGGTTGCAGGTATCCAGAATATTTTATAACAATGGCAATTGGATTGAAACACAGGTGAAATAGCTAGGGAGGCAGTGGACTTTTTTCAAGATCAATTCACAGAAAAAAGAATTCCAACCAAAGGTGTGGTGGCAATTTAAGAGTGGAAACTCTTTCTTCTGGTATGACAATTGGACTGGACTTGAAGCTCTTTACCATGCTTCAGGGGCAGACCATTGGTCTGATGAATCCATAAGGTACGTTGATGAAGTGGTGAAGAATGGAGCATGGAATGATGTGTTGTTGGGGGAGTTGTTGCCTGATGATATAGCTGACCATATACTGGAGAACATCACATCACTTGCAGACTATCTTGTGAAGGACAAACCATGGTGGAACTGGAATCAAAAGGCCACTTCACAATGAAATTTGTATGGCAATACACAAGGAGAAGAAGGGAAGAAAACAGGCTATACAAATTCGTTTGGGTAAAAGGCTTACCATTCAAAGTTAGTTTCTTTATGTGGAGGTTAAGGAAAACAAAGTTGCCACTAGATGACTGGTTCTTAAGGATGGGATACTTTAGAACTTCAAGGTGTTGGTACTGTAGAAATCCTAAGAAGAAAACACTGCCTCATGTCTTTTTGAAGTCTCCAGTTGCCAGATATGTTTGGGACTACTTTGGTGCACCTGCAGGGATTAAAAAAGCAGGGAAACAGTTAGCACAAGTCATAAATGAATGGTGGAGTAGGCCAGTTAACACAAGTTTGAAGGTAGTGTATCATGCTATGCCAAGTCTAATTGTGTGGCACCTATGAAAGAGGAGAAATTCAGGAATGCATGGGAAGAATGTGTCTATTAACATGCTGATCTTTCTGATTTCAACCTCAATACAAATACTCTTAAAGGTAAGGAGGTCAAACTTCAAGGGAGTTACTGCAAATTGGCCAGATCTTCATGAGAAGTTACTGCATCATGTCCCTAAACTAAAGTATACTAAGGTGTTATTGCATTTACCTCATGTGGGCTGGATCAAATGCAATATTGATGGTGCTTGCAAAGGAGACAATAGAGGAGCTTCGTATGCATTCTGCATAAGAGATGTAATAGGTAACCTTATATATGCTCAGGCAGACTCAATTGTTGATGCAATAAACTCCATAGCTGAAGCACAAGTTATCCTTGAAGCTCTCAGATACATAACTCAATAGCAGTTCCCTCCATGTCAAATTGAAACAGATTCCTTGCTGATGAAGAGAATACTGGAGGAAGTCTGGGAACCACCCTGTAGCATAGCCAATAAGTAGAGGAAATTAAAACACTATTGTCTAGAGGAGTGCTTCAAGTAATTCATGTACTGAGGGAGGGCAACAAGTTAGCAGATCATTTAGCTAACTTGACACTCGAACAACATGCATTGGTACAAGTACATTCGTTTGAGGAACTAGACATACAAAGGAGGAAGATATTGAACAATGACAAGCTACAGATACCCTATATTAGGGTAAGAACTGGCAAGCCAAACTCCAAATGATGATGCATTCCAACGAACTGAAGTCGATAGGGAGTTTCTGGGTAGTAAGGAGGTTGATGAGGATGTATACTGGAGGTTATGGGAAGGTCTTAGGGGAAGGATATCTCACTGCTCTTTCTACTCGAATCTATTGTGAGGAGAGTAGGAAAATTTTTCCACTAACATAGTTTCTTGTTTTGCAGGTACTTTAGATGGTGCTTGGTTCTATGTGTTGGCCAAGCCTATTAGGTTGGTATTAGTATCTTTGATACTCATTCCCTGTAGGTGTAGGCACTACATAAACCAGCCCAAATACTTACTTAACAAGACAGGGTGAAGGTTGTACATGAGCCAACCAAACTGAAGCATTATAGAATTACAGTTTGGTGAAGATGGGAAGTACTATACTAGAAGATGCACCTTCCATTACATCTGCTGCTTCCTAGAGGTCATACAAGGTAATACTGGCAGGCCACATGACAACACAAGGGCTGTGGACACGCGTATTACTGTGCTAATGTCAAGGCTGGACACTTTAAACCATGGGAGTTCCCAACATGTTACGGGCCAGTTGAGCATCATTCGGAGGAAATGCCAGGTATATTATTCATCTTCACACATGAGGATGATAGTTTTGGCAGGTATGTAATGAGAGAGGACAGATACAAGTGCAAAACCCTAAGGCAAAGTCACAACTACATCACCAATGCCTTGACTTGGACAGTAACGATGTACTTAATTGCGTGTAATTTAGTTACAAAATTGGCTTTGTCAAGAGTGGAGTACTGTTTTAGGTATCATCTGGACCTACCATATACTCAGGATTCCAAAGGTTTATGCCCAGAATCAGAAGTGTAGAGTTACAAAATATGCTATAAAAGCTTGGAAAGCAATGGTTATACATGTTCAAGTCCAGGCGTGACTCCTCTAAGGAATATGCTTCATAGTTCTTTTTGTACTATCAAAGTTGAGGAGTCCAGGCGTGACTCCTCAACTTTGATAATAGGATTGATGTACTTTCATATTTCACTCATTTACACTTTGTGAGACCTCCTGACACTTTGTATTTTGTTATTTTTGTTTTGATTATTATTAATAAAAAATACCACTAAGCACACAACTTAGTGGTATATTTGCTAAAAAAAAAAAATTGAACTTGCTAGGGAATAATTCAAACAAAAGAATATAACAAACATAAAAAGCAAAACAAAGCTATAACTCAAAAGGAAATGTTTTCTGCGTGTTTGAAAAAAGAAAGTTAATAAAAAATCGAAATTTGTTCCTTCGGGGACATCCGATAAAAAAAAAAAAAAATCGAAAAAACTATAAAAATCAAGAAAATAAAGTAATAGTAAAGCAAAGTCATAGTAAAATACAACGATTTTTNAAAAAATCGAAAAAACTATCCCAACCCTGACGCATTTTGGGAGGGACGAAGAAGCTGCTTGCCTGCCTCCTACTGCTGCGGCGACTGAGACGTGCTCCAAATTGGTGGAGGTAATTCTCGTCCACACCATTCTTCTTCCTTTTTTTTCTCATTCTGGTTCTGTATAACGAATCTTTTTATTCAATTTTCTGAAATTGCTATTCTGATTTTATTTCTTTCTATCACATTTCAGTATTGTGCTATTTTTCAGCCATGCATGTAATGTGATAATTATGCTGCTAATTATATTGCAGTTATTTGATATTTGGATGTAGTATGTGGAATACGTCTTTTTGCCTATTATAATTATCTTGCATTTTCTTTTTGATTTAGCTAATATGAGAATTGTTTTTTGAGAATATTTTGCTAACATGAGAATTATGTTTATTAAAGTAAATTATTCTTGACATTCATCTATCTGTTATCCGATGTATATGTGGGCACACTCCTGCATTTCAAATAAGTACTTAACCCCAAGTATAATGGAAATATTACACAAATATATGGGGCATATGATTTCTATTATGTAAGGACTTAGTAGGCGTTTGGACATAAGAATTGTAAAATTCGAAAAAATGGTGAAAAATATTTTCAAGTGAAAATGGTATTTGAAATTTTGAGTTGTGTTTGGACATAAATTTAAGTTTGGGTTGTTTTTGAAGTTTTGTGAGTGAAAATTTTGAAAAATAGCTTTTTGCGGTTTTTCAAATTTTCGAAAATTTCCAAAATACATCTTAAGTGAAAATTTAAAATTTTATGAACAAACGCTGATTTCGAAAAAAAGTGAAATTTTTTTGGAAAAATCTTCAACCAAATTGTATGTCCAAACGGGCCCTTAAGTGTTTGGTTTTAAAATTGAGGAGTTGTATCCATATATAACAACAACAATAAGCCTAGTAATTTTTCACAAGTGGGGTTTGGGGAGGGTAAGATGTACGCAGCCTTACCCCTACCCTGGAAGGGCAGAGAGGTTGTTTCTGATAGACCGTCGGCTAGAGAACGGATGGAAGAAGATAAGGGAAAAAGGTGGCAACAAGTAGGAATAACAACAAAATAAAAAATACCGAAGTCAAGAAAGCAGTTAAACTATAGGTAGTAAAAGCCAATGAGTAGAAGGATATCATACTAACACTAATGCTAGCGAACTGAGTAAAACAAAGAGAAACGCTCGACTACCTACTAGCCTTCTACCCTAATCTTCGACCTCCACACCCTCCTATCTAGGGCCATGTCCTCAGTCAGCTCCAGCTGCGTCATATCCCGCCTAATAACCTCTCCCCAAGACTTATTAGGCCTTCCTCTACCCCTCATAATACCTATTGAGGCTAACCTCTCGCACCTTCTGACCGGGGCTTCTATACTTCTCTTCTTAACATGCCCGAACCATCTCAACCTCGCTTCCCGCATCTTATTCTCCACAGGGGCTACTCCCACCTTATCCCGAATAACTTCATTCCTAATCTTATCCAACCTGGTATGCCCACACATCCACCTTAACATCCTCATCTCAGCTACTTTTATCTTCTGGATATGAGGATTTTTAACAGGCCAACACTCTGCTCCATACAGCATAGTCGGTTTAACTACAACCTTGTAGAACTTGCCTTTAAGTCTCAGCGGCACATTCTTATCACACAAGACATCGGAAGCGAGCTTCCACTTCATCCATCCTGCTCCGATACGGTGCGTGACATCCTTATCAATCTCCCTGTTACCTTGTATTATAGATCCAAGATACTTGAAACTATCTCTCTTGGTGATGACTTGTATATCAAGCCTCACCTCCATATCAGCTTCCTGGATAACGTTGTTGAACTTACACTCCAAGTATTCCGTCTTGGTCCTGCTTAACTTGAAGCCCTTAGACTCAAGGGTCTGCCTCTAGACCTTCAGCCTCTCGTTAACACCACCCCGCGTCTTGTCAATAAGAACAATGTCATCAACAAATAACATACACCATGGCACCTCTCCTTGAATGTGTCGCGTCAATGCATCCATTGCCAAGGAAAATAGAAATGGGCTAAGAGTTGATCCCTGGTGCAACCCCATCACAACCGGAAAGTGTTTTGAGTCTCCTTCCGCTGTCCTAACCCGAGTTTTGGCTCCATCATACATGTCCTTAATCACCCTAATATAGGCTACTGGGACCCCTTTAGCCTCCAAACATCTCCAAAGCGCACCTCTCTTGAGACTTTGTCATAAGCTTTTTTTAGGTCAATGAACACCATATGCAAATTCTTTTTCATCTCCCTATACCGCTCCACCAATCTCCTCACAAGGTGAATGGCTTCCATAGTCGAACGTCCCCGCATGAAACCGAACCGGTTCTCAGAAATGGACACATTGCTCCTCACCCTCGCTTCAACCACCATCTCCCAAACTTTTATCGTATGACTCAGCAGCTTAATCCCCCTATAATTATTGCAACTTTAGATGTCACCCTTGTTCTTATACACCGAAATCATCGTACTCTACCTCCATTCTTCGGGCACCTTCTTCGTCCTAAAAATGACGTTGAACAACCTAGTGAGCCACTCCAAACCTGCCCTACCTGCATTCTTCCAAAATTCCACAGGGAATTCGTCTGGCCCGGTTGCTCTACCCCTGTGTATCTTGCGCATAACCCCCTCAACCTCCTCTACTCTTATGCGCCTACAATACCCGAAATCCCGGCGAATCTCGGAGTGCTCCAAATCGCCCAGCACAATGTTCCTATCACCCTCTTCATTTAGGAGTTTATGGAAGTATGTCTGCCACCTTCGCCTAATCTGAGCCTCTTCGATCAAAACTCTACCTTCCTCATCTTTGATGCACTTCACTTGATCTAGATCACGGGCCTTCCTCTCCCTCACCTTGGCTAGCCTGTATAACTTCTTGTCCCCGCCTTTGGCCCCAAACTCCTCATACAAACGCCCATACGCCGCAGTCTTAGCCGCAGTAACCGCTAACTTCGCCTCTTTCTTAGTCTTCTTATAACCCTCCCTGTTCGTCCTCTTCGCCTCCTCGTCCATGCTCTCTATAAACTTCAAGTACGCTGCTTTCTTGGCCTCCACTTTCTCTTGTACCCCTTCACTCCACCACCAGTCACCTTTGCGGCCGCCAGAGAAACAGTTCGAGACCCCTAACACCTCTCTCGCAGCTACTCTAATACATTTCGCTGTCGTGGTCCACATACAACTCGCATCCCCACTGCTCTTCCAGGCTCCCATAGCCAATAACTTCCTCCCCTCCCCCCCTCATCCTAGGCTGACCATACCAGACCGCTTCTTCTTCTTCCTCACGATCTCTAAGTCCATCACCAATAACCTATGCTGAGTCGTGAGGTTCTCGCTCGGTATAACCTTGCAATCCATGCAAAGACCCTTATCACCCTTCCGGAGGAGTAGATAATCAATTTGAGTCTTGGCTAATGAATTCTTGAAGGTGACCAAGTGCTCTTCCTTCTTTGGAAAACACGAGTAAGCAATCACCAAATCTAAGGCTTTAGCACAGTCCAACAACGAAGTACCACCTCCGTTCCTAACTCCAAAACCAAAGCCGCCATGTACATCGTCATAACCCCTAGAGGTCGCCCCAATGTGACAATTGAAATCTCCTCCTATGAATAACTTCTCGGTGTGCGGAATGCCACAGACCAACCCGTCAAGGTCTTCCCAGGAATGCCTCTTAATCTCCTCGTCCAAACCCCCTTGAGGCGCGTAAGCACTAATCACGTTTAAAGTAGACCCTCCCACAACCAGCTTAATAGCCATCAGCCTATCGTTCACTCTCCTAACTTCTGCCACTAGCTCCCTAAGATCCATGTCAACCAAGATGCCTACCCCATTTTTACCCCTCACGCGCCCTAAGTACCACAATTTATACCCATTAGCATCTCGAGCCTTATAACCCATCCATCTAGTCTCCTGGACACAAGCTATATTGATCTTCCTCGTCTGGAGGATCTTCGCTAACTTTATTGACTTCCCCGTCAGAGTACCTACGTTCCAGGACCCAACTCTCAGTTTAGAGGTTCCCTTGCCACCTTCCCCCGCCCCTCGCCACCCGCACCCCACCCGAGGACATGACTTTATTCTACCATCACTCACTCCAGCCACTATAATCTAAGGAAAATTATGCTAGAACTGGCGCTCAAACAGGCAAAGGATTAAACTAAAAGAGGCAAGTCTAATACTTAAGCTCTAACCACTAATTATGCGTACAGATAAGAAAACAAACAAGCAAGAATTAAACTAGCGATAAAAATAGATATATAAAAAAGCCAGCCGCAAAGAAAATAGGAATCAAAATTACAAACTAGAAATCCCAAAACAGTTACTATCAAGAAAGTAGACAGGCAAATGCACTAATTAAGAGTACAAGTAGGCAATCAAGAATTAGGCTTAATCTATCCCAAACTAATTGGTTAACAACAAGGAAAATAGAAATACTAATTGAAGAATAAGAGGTGCCAACTCCCGATAAAAGTAAACAAGAGCGACGAAACCTGGATTGTAGACGGACTGCCAAATCGACTAGACCCTGGTAGAATGTCGCCTTGAGCCAAGATATCCGCCGGAAATCTGACCTCCAACTGCAGCGTCTAACTGCTCACCGAAAACCTGCCTGACGGCCGACGCTCGTAGTCAGCGCTGGAAATCTGATCGGAAAACGTGTTCACAAACACACCACACACACACACACGCATAATGAGAGGGGAGGGAATGAAGTTGGGGAAAGAGAGGACACCCGCTGTGCGTTCAAGAAAAGAAAGAAGCGGCAGTGTAGCAGAGAGAAGGGAAGGGAACTGCGAAGAATAGGAGAGAGGAGAGAGGGGAGAGGGGAGAGAGAGAAGAGAGATCCTTACCTGCGCCAGAGTTCCGCCGGAAATTACTGGTTGGGTTTACAAGTTCGCCAGAAAGAGAAAAGTAAGAGAGAGAGAGAGAGAGCAGATTAACGGTATTAATAATAACTCACATATATTCTTTTCGCTGGTAGCGACATGATACGTGAGCAAGAAACCAAGATTAGACCCCAAAAAAACGAGATCACAGTTATTGCCTCTGGATTTTAGTTGTATCCATATATAAGTAGATTAAATTAAATTGAATTAAAGTAGTCAAAAGGCAAATTGAAATTAAAGCAATCAAATTTTTATATATTAAGTTTTTAAATAAATAATTTTCTCGTCACGTGTTTGAAACAAAAATTTAGCCCTGTTAGAAAAGTTTCTTGAATTTTCTGTATTCAAATATGACAAGTTTCTTAGTGGCAACTTGTGTGTAAGTTATACTAAGTTGGTTGACAATTTGTTTAAGACTTGAAAAGTTTGAATTGGCAGCCTTTAAGAGATGACTCAAGTAGGAGGAAGAAAATTTCAAATTGATGACCTTTGATGATATCAGCAATAACATAAGCAGAAGGTTCCATACTCCATATAAAGAGTACTCCTCTTTCATTTGAAAGTATCAAGATCAGAAAGATGTAGTCGTCTGTAGGCAATAGAGAGGTAGAGAGTTTTTTTTATGCAATTATAAGGAGTAAAGAGAATTGTAAAGTAGAATGGGAGAATTGTGAGAAATGTTAGAGAATAAGTGTTTGGGATACACTTGTGTGACATTCCTCTTGAAGTGAATTTCTGATATACTTTCGGTATTTTTTTGGGTAAATTAGAGTGGAGTCTCTAATTTGTATTATCGCTATACACACTTTTATAATAGTAGAATTCCTCCTCCTTTCGCGGGCATGGACATAATTGGCCGAACCACATAAATTTCGGTGTCACTATTTTTCTGTTGCAGTTACTATCTTATTTTGTTGTCCTTTTCAATCAAAAGAATCAATTGATCGTGTTCAGGGTTAACAAATTGGTATAAGAGCTTGATGCATTGTGTTCACGCTAAGGTGCAGTTCACAATTTTTTATACACTTTGATTGTGTATTTCCTATCACTTCGGCTTGTTAACAATAAAATATGATGAGTGAATATGAGTTCCCCTGTATACCTACCTATCTTGGGGTTATAATGGATGGAAGGTGAAGACCTTTTTACGGCATGTATAAGGCGTTTAGATATCTATTCAACAGGTGAACACTATAGAGTTCAAGCTAGTGTTGGGAATGCGCAAGGTGATTCAGGTCGAGGGGGATTGAAAGGCTTGCTTCTTTGCAGGAGCTTCTTGATGGGAAGTTCGGTTAGAGGTTGAGTAAGCTACCATAATACTGAAATTGAACTGTAGTACAGATGCACTGGAGCATGTGCAGGTGCGCAACACAGAGGAGTTCATAAGAAAGTTTTTGCATAGGAGGCACGATTCTAGAGAGATTGAAACATTCCCATGAAGTTAGAGAGCTTTAAGACTGAGCGGATTGAGACTGAACCGATCCATTGTATTAGAAAATTCAAGTGAGGACATTTGTTAGAAAAAGCGTCTTGAATTTTTTCTATTCAAATTGGCAAGTTATATAGTGACAACTTGTGTGCAAGTTGATGCAAGATCAAGAAGGCCAAAAATCCAAGAGATTCAAGAAGTCCAAAAATCCATTCAAGATTAGAATTTCTTTTCCTTGAAGTTTAGGATTTCTTATTTCTTGTTTCCTGGTAATTTGATTCCTGTTTTAGTAGGATTAAATTTGTAGTTCTAGTCAAACTAGCATTGTTAATTGGCATCCCATTCCTATAGAATTCTTTCTCTTATTTTAGTTAGAATATGTTTTTCCTAGCCTTATTCTTATTTTAGTTTAATTAGGATTAGTTTTCTTTAACCTCATCAATTCTACTCATTGTAATGCCTATTTATAGGGCTCAATATGCTGAATATTAACATTGGTGATTAGTTTTTCTAAGCTCTTGTTTCAAAAACGTGATTTCTCTTTTGTTTGATTCTTCTTCCTTTATTCAATACTTCTTTAAATCTTGCGGGATTGAGGAACGAGTGGGTAAGGTTCTTTTCATTTTACATTCTTCTCACTTGAGTTTGAATTACGCTTTTGCTAGTTTTGTGAAAAACTTTAGCAGGGTGCTTTTGTTTTTCTCCCTTCTTCGTGCTTGAGAGGTGCAAAACCTTGAAAATACATTACAAGTTGTACTAAGTTGGATTGTAACTTGTTTATGACTTGAAAAGTTTGAAATTGACAACCTCTTATGATGTAAGAGATAACCCAGGCAGGAGCAAAAGTTCGAATTGATAAACATGATGTCAGCGTGGAATCAAGCAGGAGGAAGAAAACATTGAAAATACATCACAAGTTGTACTAAGTTGGATTGTAACTTGTTTATGACTTGAAAAGTTTGAAATTGACAACCTCTTATGATGTAAGAGATAACCCAAGCAGGAGCAAAAGTTCGAATGCAAATACATCGGCAGCCCCTTTAACTTGCTTTTACTTTTCACTTTGATGCTTAATCTTAAGCCCGTTTCATTTGAACACTTTAACCGGGTATTTAGTGTGTCATTCAAACACAAAAGGCTGACATGGCAAGGCGAAAGTTTTTCACATTTTTCAAGCGCGTGAAATGGTCCAAAAAACAAACTCCTCATACTTATTGCCGGAAAATAAATAGTTTTTGCTAGAAAATTTTCGGCTAAACTATGTACACAAAGAAGTAATTCTAAGTTATGCCAAGCTTCCGCTTCAAGATCGAAGCTTCTGCTTTAGTACAAAGGATTTAATATTGATCATCTCGTTTTTAAGATCCAAGCTTCCGTTTCAAGACTTCTCAAAAACAGCCATGACTAAGAAGAGTAGCGTTCTGGCCGAAAAAGTTACTTCAAGACACTTTTCTAACAAATCTCCACCTTGGGTTGCATTTTCTATTACGGTGGATCAGCTCAATCTATTACTTGAAGTTCCCCAACTTCATGGCAACTTCTGTTATCAGGGAAATATTTTGAGTTCTAACTGTATCTTCCTATGTATGATCTTTTTTATGAACTCCTCTGAGTTGTGAATCTACACATCCTTGCATCAGCACTCCACCTTCCATTTTTATTATAGCAGCATAGTACCTTTCTCTTGGCTTGCAGTAGAATGCATTTAATAGGAATTCGGTGGTATGGTGGTTTTCTCTACCTCCCCTCGAACTTCCAGCAAACGAGCTTGCTCTCAACATAAACAAGTTGCAAGTTAACTTGGTACAAGTTGCCACTAAACAACTTGCCAAGTTTTGAATAAAGAAAATTCAAGGCGCTTTTCTTACAAACCCAATGTGTAATGGAAATGCTACACAAATATATCGGCTTTAGTATTTTTATTATATAAGAAATTAAGTGTTAGGTTTTAAAATAGAGAAGTTGTATCCATGTATAAGTTGATTAAAATAAATTGAAAAAGTAAAGTAATCAAACGAAAAAGTGAAATTAAAGAAATAAGATTTTTAGATATTAACTTTTATGGATTTTTGAAAAAGAGAATAAATATTTATGTGGGCATATGTTTGAAAATTTTGATTAGAAATCTTGTTAGAGTTGTTTAAACCTAATATATTTGTCACATTTTCTTTCGGATGTTAAACTGGCCAGAAAAGTAATGGGTGTAATATGTTGTAAGAAAGTTTCAAATCCTTTGAACAGGAAATGGGAAAACTTCAGGCGTGATTAAACCTTTTAAGTAGGAAAATAAGAATATATATCTTTTAGAACCCCTAAAGGGAAAATGAGTACAACCAATTCCTAATAATGGTATATTTGCATATTCGTAAGTTATGTTTGGTCTCTTTTTTATAATTCCATAAACTCTAGTATAGAAATATTGATCTTTTAATTTCAATTTTCCTTGTGATTATTTCACTCAAATTATATTGATTTATGTGTCACGGATATACTCCGTTTGTTTTAATATCAAATACTTTGACCCCCTATCTAATGGAAATCGTATACAAAGTACTTGGAATACATTGACACTCGTTCTTTCTCTTTTTGATTAATGGTTAATATATTCGGAACACGTTTATAACTTTGCCCCATTAATGGTTAAGATATATACGTCAGTAGAAAATATAAAGAATTTCTAATACTTTCATTTTTATTTTTATCATTATTTTTAATTTCTTTTATCTTCACTAGGTAGAGTTAAGGTCTGCGTACACACTACCCTCCCCAGACCCCACCTGTAGGAATATACTGGGTTTTTTGTTATTGTTGTTGTTGTTGGTTGGCGTGAGATGTGTTTATATGGAGTTAGATGCTAGGATTCATATAAACGACCCCAACTTGTGATGAGTTTATATGGATTGAGATGATCAGTGAGGATTCATATAGCCGATCAAACTTGAGATGAGTTAATATATGGAGTAGGATGACGGATTCATATAGCCGACCCCATTTTGTTAGGGATTGAGGCTTAGTTGTTGTTGTAATGGTTAATATTTGTTCTAGGATTTTCATTATATAGGAGCTTAGGTTCTTGATTTTGAAATAAAAGGACATATCCACGACTGTGTAAAATTAATATTATTAGGGTACTGAGGGTGATTTATTCTGCCAGTTAAAGATAATGTTGTGTCCAATCTATGTCTTACACCATTAATTTTCAAACATTTTGTGGCTATAACAACTCTCGTGTCTATATCCACGCTACTCTAAATAAGCAAACTAGCTGAAAAATATATATTGGATAGGCATTCGGTTGAAAGTTAAATCCGAGAATGCAGAGCCTTCAAGCAACTCCCCGCTATGGCTTTGCCTCCTTATGGTATATCTTATTTAATAGCATCATTTGCTGTATCGGGTGAAGTGATATATATTCTATTGCTTCGAACTATACAGGTTCTCATACAGGATTTCAGAGACTGTCCATACGATGTGGGGTTAGGTTTCTCCCTTGCATTGACATACACAAGGTGTAGTGGTTTTTTTTTTTATGGTTTACCTTTGACATTTTGGTATCCCTAGTTTGAGCTATATATATCTTTCAAAGGTTTAATTTTAACTTGGAAAGGCCTAATGCCTGTTTGTCTCCTTCCCTTCCCTAAATTGAGCTGTGAAACCAGTTGAGGGGTAGTTAGTCTACTTTTCTTAGGGTTTATTATGTTAGATGAGTGCAATGCAGGGGTTTGGTAGTCATTTCGTTATACTATTTGAAGTTAAAGTTATTTCTACTGGTTTCAAGTGCTAGCACTGATAGAATGACTGAAATCTGTGCGACAAAAACTGACATAATGTAGGAAGACTTAAAATAGTCTGGTATTCTGGTTTAGATGAGAAAAGCTGTTGGTTATTTTAGAACCCTTCAAGCTGGACAGTAGAAAGAAAGATACACAGGTGTGGCTGGCAAATAATAAAGGAATTTTACAGTTAGTAGCTGCCATAACGTGTTTCAGGAAAATCTGAATAACTGGACGAAGGCATTGCCATGGAAGATGATATAGAAAACGAAAGCACCATCAGAACTATCATTCTTTGGCCGGGTTGCTGCAAGAAATGCCTGTTGAACTCAAGATTTGCTCCAGAGGAGAGGATTTATAATATGCAGCAGGTGTTATCTGTGTGAGAAGGAAGTAGAATCAGCAATCACATGCTGATTTACTGTGAATTCTCCTGGTAGTTCTGGACAGTCTTGTTATGTATGTTTGGAGTGCAACCTGTGATGCCAAGAGATGTGTAGAGTTTATTGTCAAGCTGGCAAGTAAGGAAGATTGGAGGAAGCAATAACAAAATTCGGAGAACACCTCCTTTATGCATCTTAGGGAGTATATGGTTGGAAAGAAATAGGGGGTATTTTGATGGAGAAAAGAAACAGATAGCAGTTGCGAAGTATAAATGCATAGAGAATTTGTTTCTGGTGTAAGGAGAGGGCAATAGAAGATTTCTCAGATGTTTTAGACTTTTTAGATTCATTTAGATGATTGTACTAATGCTATATTGTGACTTTTTTTATTTATATCCTATTTTGCAGTAACATCTTGATACTTTCTTTAATAAAATTTACTTACCTTGTTAAAAAAAAAGGATAATAGAAAATAAAAGAAAATTAAAAAAAGGTGCAAAAGATATTAGTAGTTATTTAGGCTAATAACTCATACTTGAAACTATACATGTTAATCGGGCCGGGCTGACCCGTTTACAACCCGGGTCAGCCTGGGACTGTAGCGTGTGGG